AGGATGAGCATACAGGGAATGAGGACTTGGACTAGTTGTACGAGCTGTATAGCTTTGGAAGAGTCACATGTCCACCTAAAGCTTCAGCATCCTGACTGCAAAATGTAGAGAACAAAGTATCTCTCTCAAACGGTTACTGTGGAGGACATGCTGAGCTACTGAAGACAAACATAATGCTCTCAATAATTTTAGTGTTTATCAGTGTTGTTGTTCCCAAATGATACATAGGAATTAGAGGAAATTTATCTTCTTTTTCCTGTTCTTGACATGTCACATTCTCTAACAGCTTGGTAACCCAGGCTAGAATTATGAGTAGGCAGTAGCTGTTCTGTTCCTGGGAAGCCTTGTATAAAGTAGTTCAAAATGTATCCCAATTTTCTGGGTCTCTTATACAATGAAAAATGTGGTAACTTGAATGAGGAAAAACATGGTCTGCATGCTGCATAGGCATGATGGTATATGAAGGAACATTCACCTGGAAGAGAGAAAAGGGGCTGCTGACATTCTGTCTTTACATAGATGCGATGTGCTTCTAGAGTTCTAGCACCTCAAACAACCATCAAAGCAACTAGCTGAAGGACTGATTCATTGAGTACCAAGGACATAGGAGATGTAGTGCCACACATGCTTGCTTGGATTAGCTATTACTTTGACTTGAGCTTTGCATACTTCCTCCTCTATCATCCCATAGAACCTGAAACATGTATTTAACGTTGTATTAAGAACACTACCCTATAACTGGCTTATATAATTTTCATTTGTTCTATCAAATCCCTAATGTGTTTATCTTTGTGTCTCAAACATCTAAAACAAGGTTTGACAGATGTAAAAATTTAGCTAGCTTATTTTTATTAGGAAAATGAAAGAAGGAAGACAAAGAGAAGTTATATACTCCATTATCTCTTTTTCTCTAAAGAGAAGAATGATCAACATTAGTAATACATTGTTTTTCCCATGGTTCCTTCATTAGGTAACACATTCAAATGCACTGTGTCTGACAGAGGGCGCATTGGATTAAACCTACCTGGCCCAACTTGCTAAAAAAATGCCTAATTGGTCTGGAGTTGCCTAAACTTTAACAAAACCTTTGTGATTGTTTATCTCCCAGAGAGATTAAATGCCTTTCTTAGCAGATGTGTAAACTCCTCCTTAGTGTCAGCTGGACTCACTTCAAGTTTTATTTTGACAGGGCTTAAACTAACAGACAGCAAGAACTGTCTGTTAAGGAGTTATCAGTGTAACTCCTTAAATGACCATTATATAATATGTATTCCCCAGTCACTGGACTCAATTAATTCTCATCATTCACTCATGAACCAGACAGGTCACTTCTCCCTAAGGGGTCTGATAGAGAGAAAGACCATCTGCTCCAATCCTTTCCATAAATTTTTGGTCAACTGCAAAGCCTGTGGGGCTCTCAGAGGATGGAACATCATACCAAATGCTTGATGAGGCTCTATAATCCAAATTAACTTCACATTCATTTGTTACAGGGACAAGGGGAAGGTAAGAAAGATTAAGGGCAAAGATTAGACACATGCAGAGGTGATCCGGACTCCGTATGGGCTTTGTGTTGTTTATTAATTCTGACATTTAGCGCTCTACTCTAAGTTCTTGGTACAGGAGAAAGAGACCTGGGTCCTTTAGAAAGTATACAGGACCAAGAATCAAGAACAAATGTCAAAGAGGCAAACAGCCATAGTAAGTAAACATGACCAGTCATTTTATCATTCTAAGTCTGTTCATACCTCTGTAAAATAAATATATTCATAGTTTTCTTCAGCATTCAAATTACAAGAACTCCATACCTTATACTGTATCTCACAGAACTCTATTTCAAGCTTCTGTCTTTAGTCACAGCCATTTTGCCTGCCACTTGGTACAGTAATGACAAGTCAGTTGGGATAACTGTTTTTCCCAGTTCTCTATCGCCTCCCCTTGACTTTCCTGTTGACTTGAATAAGGAACTGTTTTGCTCGGTCTACTTCCTGGCCTAGATACTGGTTTCCACACAAAGAGAACCATGACTCCTCTCTGAAAGATGCAGAGATCACATTGCTCCTCCTAGATGATTCTAATGTCAATTCAGTAATCTGAGTGTAGTCTCCAGCAAATTTAGACTCCCTTTACACTGGAAGGTGTCTTTTCCATGGATATAAAGAACACTCCAATGTTTCTCAATCAGAGGAGTAATTTCCTTCCTGCTAACCTCACCTGACTTTCAACTACCTCTCTTGTTCAATTCTTCTTCTTCCCTCAGTGATCAAAGAGGTATAAAAGATGCACCGCATATGGTACAGAAAAAGAAAGGAAAGTAACATTTCTAGAGTATCTGTCTGAGAAGCAATTTCCACTTGGGTCTATAGAGTCTACACCACAGAAAGAAAAGAGTCCTGTTTTTCCCCACTCATTTTCCCAATCCATGAGTTACACAGGAGCCCTTAGTGGACTGAGTATTCTGCTCTGGCCAAGAGCACTCTGAATTCAATTACCCTAGAACAATAATGGAAAAACTTGTAAAGCTTTCAATGATAACAAACAGCCAGTTGTGGCAAGTGTGCCATAGTTTTGCCACCACTGCTCTAGATGCAGCTACCATAAAGTGGTGTCTGAATGGTATGACCCCTTCTAGACAGAGGGGTGGCTTCTGAGCTCCACTGAGGAGAATTGCTGATGAAAACAAAGTCACAAGTTTCAGTTCCACAGGGCCAATCTGTAATGCTCTCTTTTGTGAGTGGAGTTGATGTGCCATCTTTATACCAAGGCCCTCAATGGGAACCAAACTACAAGAGGACTTAGGTAGATTCTGCGCCATTGTGTGAGGAGCTGAATTACTCTCTCTGAGTGCCTAAGTGCTTTCCATGTGGTCCTCACAACTCATCTGTGCAGTAGGTCTTTCATTACTATTTTATTAGATCTTCTTTACAGAGAAGACAACTGAGGCTCAGAGAGTTCTAAGGACTTATCCAAAGGAGCAAGCAATAAAAAAAATCCAGGTCTCTTCTGACTCCCAAGTCAATTTTCCCAACACAATATGAAATTTCCTAAAATACCTGCTTGGATTCCAAAACTCCCTCTTTTTATATGAGCAGAAGATGATCAAATGGTGTCCAGTGGCTGAGAACAAAGAAGAGAAATGATAATTGTTAATGTTGTATAACAACTGTGCTTCAGGTCCAGTCCTTGAATTTTACTTTAACTGGCTTAGAGATATACTTAATTGTAGTCAGAAGAATGGGAATAGGAGAATTTGAAGTTAACTTTTTTCCAGAATAAGACCCTGGCTAAATGCTGAACTTTCCCCTGATACTATTTGGAAAGTACTAGCAGGGTCTAATCTGATTCCCCTATGAACGTATTGTTTCCAAAACCTGGTGGCTGTCACAGTGGTTGATGTTTTGAAGCTTGCTTACAGTGGCTGTAACTCTGGAGAGTTGATTGTGCCCATCTCCTCCCAATTCTACATTCAATGACACCCCAAAATGGTCCAGGGTGAGAGTACCACAGCATGGAAATCACTAATCTAGACAAACCAATGTCTTCTTTCCCTTTGTGATTAAACATTTACTGTACCTTTATGGCCCTGTCATTCTTAGTCATAGATATCTGGTAATCAAATTCCATAGCATTTCCAGGCCAGTCCCCCCAAAATCTGTTTATGTAACAGGACATCAGGGCCCAGGGACATAACCTGCAAAATATTCCCAACTATTGACCCACTAGAAGAAGTGTCCTATACTTTCTAGGGTTGCCCAGAAACTTGGAATAAAACTTCTTTAAACTCCCTCTACTATTCCCAGGAAAAGTCAGGAACAATTATTCTCTAGAGAATGTCAAATATAACAAGAAGACTAGGGGAGGATGGAAGACACAGACATCAAGAGAAGACTTTAAAATGTTCTTCAAAAATATCTGTAATATTTCTCCTAAAACTTCAATGTAGATTTTTCTATTTTTCCATAAACAAAAAGTAGGTCACAGGCTACTATGTCAAATGAGCAATGAACTCTAATAGATGTAGTGACAGTAGGATCTATATGGAAGTTGATGATTCAGTCCCATCTCAGGACTTCTCTGGACTTTGATGGTCCATCTAGAAAAGAAGAGATCCCCACCGTCATACATGCCTGATGCAGGTATAAAATTGCATGATCCTTCTAGAAAATTGTGTGATAATTTGTATTTTACCTGGTTCATGAACATTGCAGGCCCAGACAAAGCACCTTTATCCATAGCCCCAAACTAGATACAGCATGTTTGTGGTTTATAGCCAACAACAGGATGTTTGTGGTACATTCATATAACTGATAAAAGGAATGAGCCATTGATATGCAGTGACATGGGTGTACTTTTTTTTACATGATTGTATTTTTAAAAACAGCAGTTGAGTCAAAGAAATGGAAAACAGTACATACTTTATAATTCCACTTGTATGAAATTTAGGAATAGGCGCAACTTATCTATGGTTCTAGAAATCAGAACAATGGTTGCCCCTGTCCTAGGGAATTAGGGTATGAGGGAATTGTGGGGTTGGGGGCATGGAAATGTCTAAACTCTTGATTGGAGTGGTAGGCATACACTTGTCAAAATTCACTAAATCATACGCTGTACCTTAGAATTCACTTGAAATATGTGTACACATATAATCACATTTAAATTTCAAACATAGAGAGCTCATCCAATCCAATCAACTGACTCAGGTCCGGCCCACGAACATCCAGCTTTCTCCAGGCCCTTCAGGAACACGGACTTCTTCCCTTCAAGATGTTGGCCAAGACTCATGGGGTGTTGCTACCAGCTGGGACATTGAGTAACCCCAACCCCAAGTCCTTCGCCTGGAACTTGCCAATTTCCCATCGGACACAAAGGCCCTCTCCTGGCATCCCAGACTTGCATGAGGCGGGTTCAACCTTGCAGGCAGCGGGGAATTCCCGGCCCAGGGCGTGAGTCAGGGCCCGCCCCGCGGTGGGCAGGACGCGTCCCATAAAACGTCCGGCGCTGGGGTGGACGGCGCTCCTGCTGCTGCCGGCAGTCTGGCCGCCGGTCCCGCCGCCGCCTGCCCCGCGCCATGCATCCCGCCGGGCCCCCTGCGCTGTGGCTGCTGCCGCTGCTCCTGCTCGGCCCCGCGCCAAGCCCCGCCAGCCCCGAGCGCACAGGTGCGCCCCGCAGTCCCCAAGCCCCGCCCTGCTCAGAAGCGCGGGACCCTGTCCCTCTCCCGAGCTGGATCTGACCTCTTCCTTCCCTCCCCTGCCCACCAGCAGAAAGCACGGCGATCTGCCTCCTGCCCTCGGACCCAGGGCTCTGCCGGCTCCCGACGACCCGCTACTACTACGACAGGTACACGCAGACCTGCCGGGCATTCAGGTATGGGGGCTGCGGGGGCAACGCCAACCAGTTCGCCACCTTGGAGGCCTGCGATGAAGCCTGCTGGATGATCGAGGGTAAGCGCTCCTTGCTCCTTGCGTGCATGCTAGGAAGGCTGTTTCTTCCGAAGGGGTTGCAAGGAACTTTCCTAACTGCAGATCTCCGTTTGTTTTGTTTTGGTTTATTTTTTTCGCTCCTCCGTTTTAGCCTGAGTATTCTCAAGTGTTCAGACACCCTCGTTGGCTTCGTTTCCCAAACGTAGTCACAAATCTACAACCACTATTACAGTCCTCTCACCTGACTTTTATCATAATTCAAAGCCTGTGGCGAATTTGAGAAAGTTTTGTTTTGTTTTTGTGAGTTCACCACAGGGCATAGTAAGTGCAAGCGAATACTGTATTAGATGCAACATAAGTGCCTTTCTGTGTTTATCGTTAGTTCCAAATCTATATGTTTCTTTTCTGTCCCTGAGAACACACTCTTTGTTCGTGTCAACTGTCCATCGATCTGAAATATTTCAGTGGATTTTATTATTTGGGCCTTTTTGGTACCAGGGAATCGAACTCGGGTCCTTGTGCTTGCGAGGCAGGCGGGGAAACCACTGAGCCTGAACCACTGAACCCCGGGCCCCTGTGGATTTTATTATTGAAAGGAGATTTAGTTCATTATGAAACTTTGCTTTTGTCCCAAGACCTAAATTTGCCGTAAATTAGTGTAGGGATATTATGGAGATTCACAAAAATGTGTTTTACTTTGTAAAGGCTATAAAAGGGCTTTGCCATTTAAAGTACTAAGGCAGGAAGAAATGCATATTTTTATGAATAAGCTTTGATTAACTTCATATGTAAGAACAGAGAACATAGATTCCCCTGAACAGGAAAGAAATATTACAGCTGAGTCAACCCGAGGTAACTCACCAGATTAATGGGCAATGTCTGGAGAATTTACTAATCTAATAGTAAATATGAATACTTTTCTTTCATCTGTTTCTGAAATTTTAGTAAAGTTTTGAAAGTAATAGTAAGAAGTCTACTTTTGACTAACTTTATTTTATTGTCCTTCTTTTCTTAGAAGTTCCCAAAATTTGTAGGTTCGAAATCAGTAAGGATAAGTGTGGCAAGTCCAGTGAAGAGTATTTCTTTGATCTGAAGTCCATGAGATGTGAAAAATTCGCATCTGGTGGGTGTCCCTATAGTTTGAACCGGTTCCCCAATGAAGCTTCCTGTATGAACTTCTGTGCGTCAAAGAAAAGTAAGGACTATTTTGGGGCTGTTTCAATTTTTTTTTTTCTATTAAGATTTTTGTGTGAAAAAATAGCTTGGAGTTGAGGGATATAGCTGAGTGGCAGAGTGCTTGCCTAGCATATATAAGGCCCTAAGTTCAATCCTCAGCGCTTCAAAAAGAAATCAGTAGTTTGATGTGAAATTAAAATGGTCTATGTTCATGTATAATATAATATCAGTCTTAACTATCACCCCGTGAGGGAGCATTTTGTCCCATTTTTACTTGTAAAGCTACAAATTGGAAGTTAATGACTTCCCAAGTTCTCAGGGCTGGGAAGTGTCCATGCCATTATTCAAATTTTTGCTGCTTTTTTTGTGTTGCCTCCTTAGAGCTACAGGTTGAGCATCCCAAATCTGAAAATCTAAAATTGGAAACTCTTCAAAATCTGAAAATTTTTGAGCAGCAACACGATGGTGCAAGTAGAAAACTTCACACTTAATCTCATATGATAGGTCACTGGCAAAATGCAAACACCCTAAAACTATTGTTTAAATACCTTCAGTCTCTGTGTATGAGGTATACATGAAACATGAACTAGCTTTGTGTTTAGACTTAATGTCTAGTCTCCAAGATACCTCCTTACATGTATATTTATTCCAAAATTTGAAAAAATCTGAAATCCAAACTATTTTTTGTTCTAAGTACTCTGATAAGGGATACTTAACCTGTATTTCTGATCTTCTCAATTTATACATAAAATTACTATTCATTAATGAATGTCTTGACTTCAGGTTTATATGGAATCAGTTTTGTATATGAGATAGTGGAATATATAGACTTAAGAATTTAATTAGATTTTATAATTTTTAGTAATTGCAAATTACAGAATAAAAAGATCTATGTTCTATAGCCTCCCCAACCTTGAAATGATCGATTACTAGGGCAGTATTTAATGTTTGTGGAGAGAGATAACACCAGCATCTCCCTCAGACACATCAGAAACAAAGAATAAAAAAAAGTTCAACAAACCATGAAGTTTTGCTTTGGAAGAGACTTTAATTAAGCTGTGTACCTATATTGTTAAATATGCAAAATCTTCAATCAATAGGGAGATGGTTGTTGATGATATTACATTGTGTAGTTGTTAAAGTTCCACTGGTTAGACTTAGGAATCACATGTGTGTATTCTTGATTAAGAGTGGAAGAAAAGCTAATAAAATCATTTAACATAAAATTATCAGCACAAGGAAGTTTACTGAATTATCTTTTTTTTTTTGGTACTGGGGATCGAACTCATGTCCTTGTGCTTGCACAGCAGGCGGAGAAACCACTGAGCTAAATCCCTGGCCTATGTTTACTGAATTATATATGCATTTCCCCTTGAAATTTAGCCCATTTTAACATGACCATGTCTGGTTTAGGGGATTAAATTTTTCAACTTGAAAGGATAAAAGAGATATCTCCAGAAGGTATTTGGTCTAGTTTATAAAAATTTAGAATTACCAAAATACAGCATGTAAGCTTACCTACAATTTGAGGCTCACCTTCTTAAGTGATGTTGGATTTGGAATGGGGTTTGTATGGGATTAGATTTCTTCAGTTACTTCAGTAATCATCACCATTTATTAAATTTGGCATCGTAACATTTCCAATTTTATTTTCTTTTTCACAAAGTGCCATCATTTTGCTACAGTCCAAAAGATGAAGGATTATGCTTTGCTAATGAGACTCGCTATTATTTTAACATGAGACGCAAAGCTTGTGCGACCTTCACCTACACTGGCTGTGGAGGGAATGACAATAATTTCTCCTATTTGAAGGATTGCCAACGAGTTTGTGAAAAAGGTAATGACATTTTCTTTATTCAGTTTTTAAACAAACTTTAAAAATAATTAATAAATAAGACTATATTTTAGGTACCTGTTTTACTAATCAGAAATTCCCATTTTTAGACTAATTCTACAAAAATAACACTTATCTACTGATCTGTCTTGTCAAATGCCTGTATGGGCTAGATACAGTGGACAAAAATTAGAACCTTGTATTTTTAAAAGTAGAATGTTACAACTAACTGAATGTACAGTGAGTCTAACTGACTTCATAGTCAGAAAAATAAGATGAGCCAATCTTAAAGGAAATTCGAAAGGGCGATTTAAACTGAGCCTACAGACTGGAAATATAAAATATTAATTGCTCTTTTGTTGACTTTAGCCTACAAGAGGGGAAAAAGGAAGACACAGAAGCCTCCCTTTTCAATTAAAAGGCCAAAAACTTGGAAGAAGATACCTTAAGAATTTTCTTCTATGTCATCTTGTGAATGCTTATTGCCTATATGAGTGTATCTGAAGAATACGGTATCATGAGAAAACAAATCATCAGAGATTTATTTGCCAGTTTTTTATTGATTCAAGTTACTTTTTCACCTGTGCATATTTTATACATAACTAGCTGATATTCAAATGTGAATTTTTCCTTTTTTATTCATTGTTCAATTGTTTATGAGTTTGAATTGTTATAGCACATATGATATAAAGGAAAACATGACTCACTCAGTTCTTGGAGTAGCTACTCTATTTCTGCAGATAATCATAACTGAAATATCACTAGACAATATAATTATGTACTTTTAACATACATGAGCATATACAGAACTGGCAAATATGTGTGTCACTATGAATTAAAAGTTGCATTATATTTTCTGCCCAAGGAAACAAAGTTGCAGATCCACTAACACTTTGAAAAAATAATCCAATATGTAGATCTACTAACTGTACTTCCAATTCTCTTTTGTCACATTGCAGTGTGATGAGTAAGGGGATTTATTTAAAGTATAATAAAATGCTTTTGACCAAATTAAAAAGTTAGCCAATTTATCAAAATAAAAAATGTTCTCCTGGGTAAAACAATTATATCTATACCTATCTCTTCATTTTTCCGAAGCTATCTATTCTCATTTACATGTATACGTTTGTATACATATATATCTATATATACATATATATAGATATATATGTACAAACATACAAATAGATGGTTTTTAAAAGTTCTTATTACATTCTTTCCTAAGACAAAATGGGTTGGAAACCAACAAAGTTATTAAATATTTTTTACTATTCGAAGTGTTTATACTACGACAAATGTGATTTAATAATTTAAATTTAGTAACAAATTATTATTAGGACCATTATAAATTATGAAAAGGACCATTACAGTGAGATAGATTTTATTACAAGAGATTTTTTAAAAATTTCCTATATATGCTTGGCAAAATTTGCCTCTTACTTAGCAAAATTACAATATATTTGCCCTTTGGTTGAGCAATTCCTCACTTGATACCAGGCCCAGAATTATTTTGATAAATAGATTTATGCTTGAGGACATTGTATGATTCTGGAAACTAGAAACAAACTAGTGGCTCAACAATAGGGGATTGGTTAAAGAAATTATGGATGAAGAATGAGCAAACTATCTATCTATATATGCATATCATCTGACCCTAAGAATACATTTAAAAAGATCTAGAACAACATGAATATACATGCATCATCATGATCATGATCATCATCATCATCATCACAGGAGATATAATAGTATTACAAATGATTACTTAGAATTAAGTGCTGTGGAACACAACTGTAATCCTAGCACTCAGCAGGCTGACACAGAAGGATTCTAAGTTTGAGTTCAGCTTAGGCTACATAGTGAGTTCAAGGGCAGGGAGGACTACGTAGCAAGACCTTGTTTGAAAACATAACAAAACACAAACAAACAGGTTAACTATAAAGGGAGGGAGTGAAGTGAAAAGTAGGCAGGTATGAGATGAAATTTATGTGAATGTCCTTTCTGTTTTAAGCTTGCACCGTGTAAATATTTTACATTATTTGAAATAAAAATTGAATAAAAAAAACTTCTTTAAACATTGAAAAAAATCCAAAACAATAAAACTCAAATTACTTAAGTGTCATAATTACACAAAAGATATATATTTATTCTCAGAGACTTTCAAAACTAGTATTTTGATCATTTGTCTTTTGAAGTATATAATCTAAGGCTCAAAATTTTCTGAATAAATCTGTAAGAGCATTGAGAATTTAATGTTATTAGTAAAATTGCTGTTGGTATTTGAGCCTACTGTATATACAGTACTATATTACCCTATATATGCTATTTTTAAAACAAGTATGTATATTTCTTTGGATGTCAAGGATTTCAATTTTAAGAGAAAAATTATACAAGTATAAAATTTAAAAAACTAAATGCGTTAGTTACTTTTCTCTCATTGCTGAGACAAAATACCTGACACCCAAATTTAAAGGGGAAGGGGTTTATTTAGCTCACAATTTGTAGAGGTTTCAGTCCATATTCAGCTGGCTCAAAGGCAAAGTGGCCACGGCAGAGGGGCAACAGGTCATGGCCACGGAACACAGCAAAGGCAACAAGAGACCTTAAAAGTGTCCCTCTGCCCCCTTTTATTCAGACTAGTTAGGATGGGCAACACTCACACCCTTAATCCTAGTGCCCTTGGGCCTATCCCTGCCATTAGTCAATCACACACTCTAGACTCAGCCACCTGTGAGAAAGCATGATGCTTTGGGGGAAACATCTAAACAGAAGCCGTAACTTCTGCCCCGAAGACTCAAGCATATCCCTTTATGCAAAAAAAGTATTTAGTCCATCTCTAAGTGTTCCCAAAGTCCTTACAGATTTCAGCACTGCTGAAAAGTCCAAGGCCAAAGTCTCCTCTGAGATTTAAGGCAAATTCTTAGCTTCATGCCCCTGTGCAAATGAAAAGAAAGTTAAACCCTTCCAACATTCAATGGCACAAGATAGATATTTTCATTCCAAAAGTTATAAGTGGGAATACAAAGTAATGGGGCCAAAGCAAGTCCAAAATCCAGGAGGGCAAACATTAAATCCCACAGTTCCACTTGTAGCATCCCTGGCAATTTATGGCAAGTTGTGAACTCCAGAGGGCTTTGGTGGCTCCACCCCTATGGCATTTCTGGTAGTTGAGGCTCTCATGGCTTCTCTATTGGGCCAGCTCTACTCCCTCCTTTCAGTTTTCCTCAGATGATCAGCACTCTTGGCTTCTCCAAGCTTCTGGGTTCTCCACTGCATTTTCAGCTTCACGCTCACATCTTCACACACTGCCCTCTCAGGAGTACACTGCCTGGCCTCCTAGACTACCTTCTGAAATCTGGGTGGAAGCCTTCCTAACCCCATAACTCTTCCATTCTCCATGTACCTAAAACCATCACCACGTGGATGATGCCAAGGTCTGCTGACAGCTGGAGTAGTAGCTAGTCTTTCCCCTCTGTTGGCTGTAGGAGTGGAGTGCCTATGAACCAGGTCCAAAGAAACGACTTCCCTAGGCTGCCACCATTCTAGAACATGGTGCTCTGAGGATCTCTTCTCAAAGAAAAGTCTTTCACTTTTGCAGTTTTGAAGCTGTAAAGGGTGGACTCCTGCTGCTTCTTGTGATGCTCTCAGGCCATCTTTTCTATTCTCCTGTTCCTTCTCAGAAATCAAGATCTCTGCTATCTTTGCAGTCCACAGATTTATTAGAACTTCCCTTCTGGCAAAACTCAAGACATTTTAAATAATTCTGCTGGGCTCTTTGCTCTTGATTCTCAACATAAATCTGGCCAAAAACCCCCAACAGTAGCCATGCTATCACCTCAACATTTGACTGCCTTGAAATTTCTTCTGCCACATTAATTAGTCCACTGCCCTTAATCTCAGTCTCAGGCAAAGTCTCTGGACATGAGCAAAATTCAGACGAACTTTCTGCCATGCCATAACAAATATTGTCTGAAGTCCAACAGCCAATTCAGTCCTTCTTCCCAGAAGAAACCTCTGGAGCTTGGTCCTTACCAGCTTTCTGGTCTTCTGAGCTCTGACCAGAATCTCTTATACACTACAGCCTAAGGTATTCCAGCTCTACTTCTTTAGCCAGCACCTCTGAACTTTTCTTAACTCTTCTTCCCACAAGCTAGTTCCAAAGGTTCTTGAGCCACATGGCCAGGTAATGTCACAGCAACAACCTCCCACCCCACCCCCACTCCTGGTACCAAATTTCTGTGTCAGTTACTTTTCCCTCATTGCTGAGACAAAATTCCTGACACCCAAAGTGAGAGGGGAGTTTATTTAACTCATGTTTTGTAGAGGTTTCAGTACGTAGTCAGCTGGCTCCAAAGCAGAGTTGTACATGGCAGAGGGGCAACAGGTCATTGGACAGCAAAAGCAACAAGAGATCTTAACAGCATCTTTCTGTTCCTGTTATGTTACTCAGACTATTTAGGGCAGGTAGCACTCACACCTTAATCCTACTGCCCTTGGGTCGAACCCTATCATGAGTTAATTACACACTCTAGATTCAACCACCTCTGAGAAAGCATGATGGGAGAACATCTAAACACAAGCCATAACACTAAGTAAAAAACTTTTAAGTTGGAATTAGAAATAATAATATGAACATGTAATTTACTTTTTCTTTCCAAAAAAATGACTTTCCATCCTTCCATTGAAAAGTCCTTAAAGCAGTGATAACACAATAGCAGGAAGTATGCCTACCATTCAGATTTCAATGTCTCAGTATTATGTCTCACTAAAATGAACCAGTGCTCTTAAGAGAAATCTTTGAATCCAGTTCTAGAGCATGAAATAGGGTCAAATGAATCATGACCATTTTATTCTAGAAATCAAAAATACCATAAAAGGCCAATAAATCAAATCAAAAAAGAGATTAACATTAAGTAGCTCTCATTGACCTAAAATAAAATAATATAAACATCAAAACAAATAATGACTTCAATATACATAGATATAAATAAAAAGAAAAAAATACATAAATTCATAGTTATAGAATATATTGGTTTCTAATTTCTAGGACAAAAAATACTTGACACCCACAACTTAAAAAGGGAGAGGTTTATGTGACTCACAGTTTCCAGTGGGTTCAGGTCATGGTTGAATGGAGCAAAAAGACATGGTGTAGGAAATATGCTCACCCCTTGGAAAAGAGGAAGCAGAAAGGAGAGGGTTGGGGAGAAGCAGCAGAGAGGGACAGTGAAAGAGGGAGGGAGAAGGAAAGAGGGAGAGAGAGAGAGAGAGAAAGAGTGTACTCATCTAGGTCACATCTCTAGTGACACACCTCTTCCCACCAGTCCCTATGTCCTAACAGTACATTCAGCTATTAATTTATCAATGGACTAATTCACTGATGAACATACTACTCTCCGTGATTCAGTGACCTTTCAAAAGTCCCACTTATGAATACATGAGACTTTTGGAGGACATTTGAGATTCAAATCATAACATTCTACCCCCAGACTCCAAAAGACTCATGGCCATCTCATTGTGAAAAATGCTTTTAGTCCATCTCTAAGTTTAACAATTGTAACATTGCTGAAAATCTAGTCCAAGGTCTCCTCTGAGATTCAAGGCAAATTCTTAGCTGTGAGGCCCTGTAAAAAATCAAAAAGAAACTTAAATAGTTACAACATAGAACGACACAAGGTAAACATTCCCATTCCAAAAGAAAGTGATATAAGGTACCCAGTAATCAAAATATGATATAGGGCAAGTAATCTGAATAAGCAAAAATAATCCAAATAAGGGAAATATTATAACTCCCAACCTACTAGATACCTGAAATGTGAGTTTGTGTTCTCTAAAATCAAAGAATGATTTCTAGGAACAATTGAGGCTAAGAGTAGGAAAAATTTATTGAGAGAAAGACAGTTTCTGTCTAAGAGAGACAGAATGGAAACAGGAAAGTGGGTTGCCCCCTCTTGTGCTTTTCAAAGGTGTTTTATAGGGCATATCCATGAGATGAGGTGGGTATAAAGTGAGACAAAACTATAAGACCTAATGGAAAATTATAAGGTAGGCATGAGATGAGATAAAACAATGATCAACCAATAAGATTACATTACAGTCACCCAGGTACTATTGATTAAATAGGGATCAAATAGGAAAACAAGTCATGTAGCAAGTATACAAGGAATTTCTGGAAAGGAAATGGTCTAGGGAGATTGATATCATTTTAGAATATCAATCATTGCTATTTATCCCCAGGGGAAGTAAGTGGGTGCAGTACTTTTTCTCTTTTTTATAATGCTAACCACTGAATGTATCTAGATGTTTTTTGTATTGACTCCTGCAGGGCTAGCCCTGTCTGTTGTGGCCAGATATGAACTTCAAAGGTTTGGGGCAGCCCTGCTCCTATCTCCTGACTTGTTACAACCTGTGAGGCCTCTCTCTTGAGATGGCTCTGCTTGTTGTATGTGACTTTTCTCAGATGTCCCACATTCCTGGCATCTTTAACTTCCTGGGGCCTCCACTGAACTCTCACAGCTTCACTCTAACAGCTTCACACATCACTCTTTCAGAGACACGTTGCCTGACCTCCCAAGCCTTCCTTTGAAATCTGGGTGGATGCCTCCATAACCCTGTAACTCTTGCATTCTGCATGCCTGAAAAACCAGCACCACATAGATGACACCATGGTCTGCCAACAGTATAGCCTGGCCCACTTGGATCATGACTCCAGCAGCCTTCAGGTGACTAGATGAATGAATTTGGGGAAATACTTCCTTAGGCAGCCCTAAAAGCAAAAGGTACCCTGGGGCTCTGTTCTCATAGTTTATCCTCTTATAACCTTGAGACTATCATAAGTGTGGTCTGTCCATTTCCTGAATGCCTTCAAGGCATCTATTCTATTGCTCTGATGCAGAGTACTAGGCTTCTTTCTATGCTAATCTTGTCAACAACCATACTCCCTATGGCTCCAATTTTGCAAGCTCTTCATTTCTGTTGAGACTACAAGCTTTTCACATCTTTTGATACTATTATTTATTCCTGATTCTCCCTATAAATTTGGCTAAATGCAACCAGCAATACCCATGCCACAGCCTGAACATTAAAATTTCCTCCGCTGGATTATTTAGTCTACCACTTTAAAATTCATTTCACACAAAGTCGTACATCAAGGACAAAACATAAATTCTTTGCCAGAAAAATGGCCTCTAGTTCATGGCCTCTAGTTCAGTTTCCAATGCAGTCTTCATTTCCATCTGAAA